CTGTGCCGGGGGGGCGCGGCTTGGGGCACCTTGGCACGGCTCTCCCGGGCTCTTCCCCTCCCCGCAGCAGAGGAACCGCCGGGGGAAGCCAGCAGGGAAAGTGAACTGCAAGAACATGAAGCAGGACTGCCCCGTGCCCGCCTGTCCCCGGGCCACGCTGCTGCCGGGGCACTGCTGCCACACCTGCCCCAAAGGTGAGACCAGCGGGCGCCTCCCTGCGGGGAGCCCCCCTGCACCCACAGGGTCCCCCATGGGCATGAGAAAGGGGGCACTGCGCACACACCCCCAAAAAGGGCTGCTCTCTTTGTTATGGAGGTTGCCAGTGCCCTCGGGGTGCCCATGAGGTGCTGGGCAGGGGGAAGCCCTGACGGGCACAGCCATCCCTGAACCACCCTGGGAGGGTTGCAGAGCGGGTGCGCAGGGCTAAACACCCTGCCCGTCCATCTGCCTGCGCCCAGCATGCCCCCCCGCACCCCAGCACAGAGCCCCACAGTGATTCGCAGGGTACATCTCGGTCTGTCTCAGGAGGGGGGATTTATTATTGCCCCCCACCCCGAGCTCTTGGGCACAAGCAGCCTGGTGTAATGGTCTCTCCCTGCGCCCACCCCATGCCAGCCTTGCCAGCCCCCCTGGAGAAGACCCCCGTGCCCCCCTTCGACACCTTCGAGTACTTCCAGGACAAGGAGGACGACCTGGACAAGCCCTACAACGACCGCTCCTACCTCAGCTCTGAGGGGCTGGCCCGCGACGATGCCCGCACAGGTGAGCCGCCCGCCCGGGCGGGCAGCAGTGGTGCGGGGCACCCCCCCGCACTCCTCACCGTCATCGGCATCCCCTCCCCAGAGTTCGTGGCCTTGCTGACGAGCGGCCCGGAGCCGTGGCACCCCACATCCAGCGCAGTGGCCAAGGCTCGCTTCACCCTGTTGCGCTCCTACCTGCTCTTCTCCATCAGCTACGAGCGGTGAGTCCTACCCCCTGCCCTCTGCCCAGGCTGGCACAGTGGGCACCTCCCTGGAAAAAAGGGGGGATGCAACAGTGCTTGTGCCTCAGTTTCCCTTCGGACATCCCCCTGAGGTGCCACAGCCTTGCATTGGCAGGGCAAGAGATTTGGGGAGGGGGGCGATGTTCTAGGGGTCCAGCCTGGGTGAGCAGCCGGGATTTCGGCACGCCCATGGCGCTGGCCCGGCCTCACCCCTTCCCCTCCAGGTCTGGAGCAGGAACAAACGGGAGCGGCTCCAGGGCTCCACAGAGGATACGGGCGCAGCGGGGCAGAGGCACCGTCCTGCCCTGCGGATTCTGCCAGTGGGCACCACCAGGGCACTGCCACCGGAGTCCCCCATCCTCCCCGTGCCCTCCCCGGATGCCCGCCAGTGGCGGAGCGCCTCTCCTCCCTCCCTCCTTCCCGCTCCAGTTTCTTGAGCTCTTCCTCGCTTCCAGGCCCCTTTGCATAGTAAAGTGGTGACTAATTTCCAGCTCCGACCGGGGGAGCCAAACAGAGCCGAAAATGCTCCTAATTTACAGCCGGGCCTGAGCGCTCCTGGCAGGTCCTGCCCTGCTGCCTTTCCCGGCGGGGACCCCCTCCTGCTTGGTGCCAGTTTGGCACCGCTCTGGGGCAGGGGAGCCCAGGGGACCCGTGCCGAGCTGGCACCCGGCGGGATGGCAGCGTTGGGCCAGCCCGGGTGTGGGCAGGCAGAGTGTGGTGCTTGGCACCCCAGGGGGACGTCATCCTTCCCTTGCCCACCCCAAATCACTGGGTGACCCCTGTGTGCCCTCCCCAACGCACCCCTGTGCCCGGTGCTGAGCAAGGGTGGTGCCAGGGGAGGGGGGACAGGGCGGGGGGTCATTGCTCACCCCCCGGGTGCCCGCAGGGTGGGGGGCCGAGCCGGGTGCGTTTCAGTGACCCCGAGGGCAACGTGCTGTTCGAACACCCCGTGCAGAAGAGCGCTGCCCCTGAGGATGGCATGGTGAGAGGGGCTGGGAGGGCAGGGGGCACGGCGTCCCTTCCTCCCCCTGCCCAGGCATGCGGTGCCCCCTGGCCCCTGCCCAGCCCTGCCCTCGCCCGCACCTCTGCCGGCTTGGGATGAC